TTGTATCATACAACACCCCCTACAAGGCACTCAGACACAGAGATACGTCCATGCACATGCACACACCACACTGTAGCCCTCGTCTTCACCTTATCACATAATCCACTCACCACACATTCATGCACATGCTTACATGCATACAAACCTAAAAATATACACACAGGCACACGTGTACCCCTTAAGTGTGGATTCCAAACACCTCTGATAGACCTGGTTTAATCTCTGTTACTGAAGCTGCTGAAACTCACATGCATAGGCTATGGAACCAAATCTTCAGCACCCAAGGAGCCCTTGGAGAGACTCTGATGCCCCCTGTTTACAGAAGGTAAAACAGAGGCTATGAGAGGTGATGCCATTCACTAACGATCCCACAGCTAGTTGGAGGCACCATTGAGGCTGCAGCTCCCAACAGACAGCATGTTGGTCTTCTGTCTCACCTGACGCCCATAAGGTGGAACTTTCACCCCTGCAGAGGCCTGACTGTATCTTGGTCCTCTGCCCCAGGCTTTTCCAGAGCTAGAACCTGGTCAGCTCTTTCTCTGAGCAGCTCCAGAGGAGAATGACAATGAGGAGGACAAGAGTCCGCGGGAGGCCAATGTTCCCAAAGGGACAGAGGAGCCTGAGCACCTGGAAGAATTAGAAGACCCCAGCTCCCCAGTTCTGTGTTGTCTGGAGGATTCAAGGGCAGTGAGCCATGGGAGAAGGGTCTACGCTAAAATGTGGTACTTGGCAGTTGGAGTGGAGAGGCTTTCGGCAGTCTGATGGCTCGGAACTTTTCTGATTCCCTCAACCGGCAGCTCCACCTAAAAACCTGCTATTTGTGTTCATGAAGGTTCATATCACTCTCCCTGTTTCCCATCTGCTTGACATGACCAGCAATAAACCAGGCACATCTAAGCATGCTTTGTTCCCTGGGATATCCTAAGATACAAAGTCTCTTTTCCGAAACAAGATTCTGTTGTTCTTAGGTACTTTTCTTCAGGCTAGTTCCTGGCATCCTACTTTTTAGCACAGGCACATTCATTCCCATGGGGATGGATGATTCCCAAATCATCATTCAGGGGAGTATGCGCCCTCTATCAGTGAGTCTCCATATAATGTATGGTGTCCTGTTTTTGTTCTGGACCTGAGTTTAGGAGAGGCAAGATTAAGCTTAGAGCGAAGAACAAGAAATGACCGTTTCTTCTGGTTTTATTTTCAATGATGGCAAGTTTAACGTGAAGAGGACGATAGACAATGGGCTCTTTGATGCAGTAAGAAAAAGGAAAAGCATTTTATTCTTTTTTTTTGAGTTGGAGTCTCACTCTGTCGCCCAGACTGGAGTGCAGTGGCCACTCCCGGCCACCGCAGCCTCGACCTGCTGGGCTCCGGCGATCCTTCCGCCTCAGCCTTCCAAGTAGCCGGAATTATAGGCATGCACTACCATGCCCGGCTCATTTTTTGATTTATTGTAGAGATGGGGTCTCACCTGCCCAGGCGGGTCTCGAACCCGCGGGCTCAGGCAATCCCCTCACCTCAGCCTCCCAAAGGCGCGGGATTACAGGCTGAGCCACCGAGCCTGGCAGCATTTTATTCTAAATTGTTCACAAACACATGATGAAACTAAAATCATTTTCTATAATGCCAGTGGAGTTTTCTAGAAATACATCTCCCCGAAAAAGAAAGGAAAATGATGCTTAGTGGTGGGATTGTGTTCAAGGCTGGGCAGTGACCTGGCAACAGGGGCCTGGTCCCACTAAGACGGGCTCCTAGGCATGTCCTGGCTCTTGGGCCATGCTCAGTTCAACCTGTTGTAACAGTGCCTGGACAGTGTTTGTGTTTTTGTTTTAATCCATCCATTTCTTTTTCCAGGTTTTCTGATCATTCGAGGAATTTTGGGCCAGAGGAGGGTGAAGAGAGCCTGAAGACAACAATTTCTGCAATTAATGAGGACTCTTGGTGATCATAAGCATGATAGGATTCATGGGGGAAGACTATAACTGGACTAGAGCTTACTTGAACTGCCCCTTTCAACATTACTAAAGATTCAGAGAGATGCAGAGTGGGAAGCCACAGTGGAACACCAACTACTTGACACATGTTAGAATGGCTATGATCAAAGCAATGAATGATAACAATTGTTGGTGAGGATAAAGAGGAAACCCTTGTATATCACTGGTGGGAATGTAAATTAATACAGTCACTTTGTAAAATGGAAATTAACATTCCTCAAAAACCAAACATTGAACTATTATGTAATCCAGCAATCTTGTGTCTGGGTATATATTTTTAAAAAATCAAATCATTATGTCAAAGGTATATCTGCACTCCTGTGTTTATTTTAGCATTATTCACAAGAGCCAAGATATGGAACCACCCTAAGTGTGCATCAGTAGATGAATGGATTTTTTTAAATGTGATATACAAACCCAATGGAATACTAAACAGCCTTTAAAAAGATAGAAGATTAAATTTTTTCATTTGCAACAATATGGATGGAGCCACAGAACATTATGCTAAGTGAAATAAGCCAAACAGAGAGACAAATATGGTGTGATCTCACTTATATGTGGAATCTTAAAAAGTTTGTTTTATACAGAGTAGAAAGGTGGTTTACAGATGGAAAGGCAAGGATCTGGAAAATGGAGATATTGATCAAAAGGTACAAAATTTCAGTTAGACTGAAAAAATAAGTTTTATTGATTTATTATACTGCATGGTGACCACAGTCAATAATAATGTATTGAATATATCAAAATTGCTAAAGACATAGATATTTAATATTTTCACCCCAAAAAGGATAAATTGGTGAGGTAATGGATGTGAAAATTAGCTTGATTGATTCTGTCTACAATGGATACATATTTCAAAACATCAAGCCGGGCTCAGTGGCTCAGCCTGTAATCCCAGCACTTTGGGAGGCTGAGGTGAGTGGATTGCCTGAGCCTGTGGGTTCGAGACCCACCTGGGTAACTTGGTGAGACCTCATCTCTATAATAAAATAAAAAATTAGCTGGGCGTGGTTGCGCACACCTGTAGTTCCAGCTACTTGGAAGGGTGAGGCGGAAGGATTGCCAGAGTCCAGCAGGTCGAGGCTGCAGTGACCGGGAGCGGTCACTGCACTCCACTCTGGGTGACAGAGTGAGACTCCAACTCAAATTTAACTCATAAACATATATAATTATTTTTCAATTAAATATAAGTAAATTTTGAAATAAAAACAGAATGAGGAATTTGGATTCAGACATTCTTTAAGAGCCATTTGAGCACCAAAAGATAAGGGTCCAATGTAGTGATATGTTATCAGTGTGTAACAATGAAGGAATATCTTTAAAATGTATAAGATTTGTTCTTTGACCCAACAATCCTATTTCTAGAAATTTATACAAAAGATATTGTCACTTATTGGTGAGAAAATATATACGAAACAGTAGTCATTCTTATTTTGTTATTGAAAAAGTTTAGGAATAAACAAATTATAACAATTTAACTGTTGTTAAGTTTTTTAGATGAATACAATATCTTGTATTCATCTAAAAAGTTAAGTGATGGCGCATACAGATAATGGAATGGTATAAGGTGATAAAAATAATGACACAGTTCTATGTCTTTTATTCTAATTAATTTTTTTTTTTGAATTGGAGTCTCACTCTGTCACCCAGACTGGAGTGCAGTGGTTGCTCCCAGCCACTGCAGCCTCGACCTGCTGGGCTCCAGCCATCCTTCCTCCTCAGCCTTCCAAGTAGCTGGAATTACAGGCACGCGCTACCATGCCCGGCTAATTTTTT